AAAGAGTCCCTGGAAAGGGGGCGGGGCAAGTGCAGGGAGCAAGACCCGAACCGTCACGGGGAGGTCGGAGCCTTTGTTTGTTTTTACACCTATCCACCGCAGCTGCCAGGAAGCAGCTTTTACAGCTGCAAGTTAACAGATTCTCTCTCCAAAGAAAATAATTGTAGCAGGCTTTTATCCCCTCCCAGTCACTGGCAGCATCTTAGCTAATTCTTATCTATTCTCAGCCACCTCTCACCTCCCCAGACAGTACCAGAAGTGCTCAAATCCCTGCCAGCTCTCATTAGGTTCATGCACAAGGCAGGGCCGAATAATAAAGCCTCCAGTCAGTTGGATGGTAAATTCTGATTAATCCTTTGGATAGAAAGATTTCAGCAACTGTGTAACTATTTTTGTTGGTAATCTAACTGCAGTCCTTATATTGGCACAAGGGAAGCTGGGGCACGTTTGGTTATTTGCTGCTATAACGAAATCCAGCTGAGCATATGACTGACAGAATTACCACCTGCATCCTTAAAGGAAATGATTTTTTTTCCTTAATTATTAGACTTAAGGACAACAGGTAGGCTTGAGTAGACTCTACCTGTGAAAAACAAGCTGCTACTTCATAAAAACCCATTATCTTTATTTCCTCTCTTCAGACTTTTCTGAATTTTTCAGCTTTGCAGTAGAAGCAGCAAAGTTGACGTTCTGCACTGATGCAGGAATTCAGAGCTCAGCAGTAACTGCCATTCACCTCTCTTCCCAGCCTGAGTTTAGAGTCCTCTTTTCCAGGAGACGTCACCCTGCCATCACAGAGGCCCCAGCTGTACCTGCCCCCGGGCAGCACTGAGCCCTACCTTAAAAGCAACAGCTGGAGGTGGGAAGCAAACAAACAAAACCCCAAAACCACCACCAACAGAATTCCACAAACTCACAGCACAAACAACAAAAAGACAACTCTTTCCTTCTTTCCCGCTTCTCCCTAGAAATATCCTGATAGCTCTGAACTGAAAAGAGTTGTCAAAACAAATTTAATAACGTTATCAACATAAACAAGACAGAAAATAAAGTTTATTGTAGTGCAGAATTTTTCCTCCAGTCACACGCCTGTCAAGCTGAGTTTTCTTTTAAAAAACAAAACAGAAAAAGGCTCTCCCTTGGAGATCTGTTCAGCCTAACCAGGACTAAAGCAGAAGTTTTTCCAGTTTAGCCAAAAGGTAGTCCAATCATAAAAACACTTCCCTACTGCACAAATAGAGCAGAGGGGCATTAAGCCTTCAGTATAGCAGAAGTCTGCAAGACCTACTAAACTCAGTAGATTTTAAAAATGGGATTTGAGCATCATTGTTACCAATGAGCAAATACAGTGGCAGGTGTGATAGTCAGCCACCTATGGTAAGCTATTCTGGACTTTAAGTCTCATTTAAGCTGCGCATTTCTGCTCTCGCGATTCGCTGTTCCTTCCCAACGGGGAAGCTCAAAAGATAAAAATTGTGAAAGGGAACAAAGCGGGGAACTTCTCACAGCACAAAGGAAAAGGTATCATATGTGGAGCAGCTTCCGAGACAAATGAGGACTCCCACTAACAGAGTCAAATTGCTTCTCCCCCCCACCCCCCGCCCCCAAACACACTTCAATACATCTTCCAAGAAGAAGAAGAAGAAGGAGAATTGCATTACAGTGTTTTTACACAGAAATGGAAGAAAAGCGGTACCGGCGTTTGTGATCCGTCTGTCACTGGCATGTCAAGTTGCATTAAAAGAAGGGAATCCTCCTGCTAAATTACCTCATTAAATTGCCCATACAGGAACCAACCCCTTTTAGCCACTTCTTATTTATTGCTATGAAGCAAAGCACCCATGTTCTTAGGGAAAAAACTGAAGTAAGCATTCTGCAAGAGGAGGAGAAATAAGACCTTGGTGAAAGTCCCCATCCCACATCCGTGAGTCACTAACAGACATCTTTAGGAAGCTGGGGCTTCTCTTTAGCAACACTGCTTTGATAAAGCATAAGGAATACTCTGTTCTAGTCTTTCAAATCGAAGAATTGCAAGGTTCATAATCATAAGTTTCATAATCATAAGTGTTTCCTTTTTTTAAATATTTTTTTTGCTATTCAATATTCATTTCAATACCAACACAGAGCTATTAGGAACCTAATTATGTCTCTCAAACTTAAAAATCACACCATTGTTTTAGCTAAGTCTTTAATCAGCCAGCTGCTACTCTTTTCTCCAGCACTGTCTTCACAGTCCAGAGAGCTTCTCCAAAGAGCTTTTTAACACACACAGCAGAGGGATTTGAGTGAAAAGATATAGACAGTCCATGGAAACAGGGAAACAGTCTGCACTTTAAGTCGCTCTCATTGTCCTCCAGTTTGGACTATGCTAATCTCATCTCTCAATGAGCTGCAGAGCTGTCTTTGCCCATCCGCATTTAATCACCATTCTTGTAGTAGCAGTGATCAGAGTTAATTTTTCCCCTTAACATCGACCATTATACCATTCTCCAGCATGAAAACTACGAACTGGGAAGGTCAAAAAGTTCTTAAGTAGAAGGAGTATTTATTGATGCAATAATTCCGTTCTAGCCTCAATAAGAGAGATCTGCAGTACAGGCAACAAGAGCTGAAAGGCATCCTGGATATATGAAGCACTGTTTGAAGCCTATGAAAACAAAATCAAAACAAATACGTGAATAATTATGCTACCAAATCAGCTTCACTAATCATATATTCATTTCAGACAACACTGATTAATGTACATAAGAAACAGAAGCCTACTGCTTGTTGAGTCTTTCAAGTTTCATTCTAGCAATGCATTTTATAGTACATTTTTTTGAGGGGCTGTATATCACCAGACAAAAGAAACTGATTTAAAGCTGCTATACAAGATCTGTTGCAGTCTAAATGTAGGATACTCTTCTGGATAACAGATGAAAACTATTCATTTCAGAGGGAAGCAGAAACATACTGTGGCAGGAAGGAAGAAGACACGAACAGGAAATACCCTTTTCCCGCCACACCTCAGAAGTTTGTAAGCACTGAGCGGCAACAGAACAGCTGGGAAGTGTTGAGACTTCTACACACTAATTTATGACCTTGTCTAAGGTTTGACCTCAGGCATCTAAATTCCCACTAAAATGCTGGAAATCTAGACTGCTGAGCAGCTAATCTATCTTCTGACCTATAACTGTCAGCTGTGACAGCAATACAGCCTCACTCTTCACTAAACAACTCATGTCTCGTGCAAATCTATTCTTAGGTATTTAGTAAAAGTGGTAGGTTATCAGATAGGCAAACTAAACCTTAGAGATTGGTTAGAAAACTTGGTATGCATACGGATACTGAAGTGGAAGTACTAGCATATCCATTTTCTAAGTATTAGCTTAAAGTTTTAACTTCAGCATAACTGACCTCCAGAAACACTCCAGTGATTAAGGGATTAAGCACATCTGCTTTCTCTTTGACCTGCAGAGATCAGACATACATTATCCTGATTGAAAATTTGATCACATTTCTTCAAGCAAGATAAAGCTAAATCCTCAGCAAGTTTAAAATCACCACTGCTCCCTTGACGCCAGAAAAGCCGAGTCACAAGCTGCAGAGGATCTGCCCTGTAGCATGCAAATAAGCACAAAGTAACCCACATAAGCCCAAAGCAGGACCCACATGAATACACACATTGCATCTTCACATGAACTGTGGACAGCTGAAGGATTTAGAGATAGTGATTATCTTCAGTAACACCTGAGTGTTTCGTAAAATCTACAACAAGGAACATAAATCTTATTTTCATTCGTCTCATAAGCACTGTCAGCACCAGTCCCCACTCCATTTCTGAGCCAGGCAGAATGCAGCAGGATGCATTCAGAAGCTCAAGATACATTGAGCTGCCACAGTCTGGGGAACACTGACCCAGAAGACGAGTTCACAGGGCAAAAATCTGCATGTATAAATGAGCAAGCACAAAAAGCACTTTGTGGTAAAAATCCCAAGGCTGTGATCAGCTAACCTATCATCCCTAAGAACTGTGATGTAATTCTTACCCCTGCAGTCGTTAAGCACGTAGTAAACTCTTTAGAGAAAGCTGATAGTTCTTTACACAGTACAATTGTCATTCTGTGGAAGAAAAGTGGAAAAATTACGTAGTAAAACACCTTCTACAGAGAATCACTTTCTTTCTGTGTTCCTCTAAAACACAAATGTCTTGTTTCCATGCATATAAAGCTAAAATCAAGCCAAAACTGATGTATAACATTTAAACAGCATATGAAGATCTTGAAGTTCCCAAAATAAATTACAGTGGGGAAAGGTGGCAAAAGGAAAAAAAAAAAAAAGAAACACACCACAAAGCTGAAGATATGAAACACTGCTCAGAGGATACAAACAACCAATCAAGAAGGAACAGTACTAACTTTATTACTGGTAAGTGCCATTTTCTGAATTAGAAAGTACTAGGTATTTCATATACTTGCCAAGTATTTCCTAAGATAGAGAAAAATCTCCTGTTGTGTCATGCATTACTGGTAATATTAGTCCACTAACTAGTCTAATAATTTCACAATATTATATACCTAATATGCTAAATAATTAGTAAAGAGGTGATTAAGAATCACTTTTACAAACTGTTTTCTATCATTTTAAATATTGTATATCTGACTAACTAGCACAAGCTTAGGGCAAAAAAAAATTCTTCTTAGCTATATGAGAGTTTTCAACTGAGTTTTCTCTTTCTCATGATGAAATGTCTTTATGTTGGAAAGAGAAACAGACAGCTGAATTCTGCTGGAAGAAGAATTTCAAGAGAGAATTTCAAGAGGCCTGCCTAAGTCCAATTATATGCTAGGTATTAGTTAAGAGATGAACGTACTGTGAAAGACACTTGGCTCGGTCTGTGGCTGTCACCTCTTTCTTCTGACCATGTAGGAATAAAGCTGCAGTTTTGTGAAACGTTTCAATGGAGTATGCTGTCAGTTCAGCCAGGCTTCTAATGGCAAATGCATGAATATCCTGCAAGAGTTAAAAAGATCCCCCATGCCATACAAAATCTAGCAGCTTTTACTATTTAAAGCAAATAAATTGTGCAACGTACTACCACCACACTGCTTTTCAGTCCTCAGCATCTGCATTCAGAAATGGAAAACCATAAGCTCTTGAGATCACAGCTACAACTTAACAGCCAGATACAGTCTGCTTTTAGATATCCTCTCTTCCGTTGCTCACTTACCTCTACTGATTTTTTAGCATTATGGTCACCATCTCTGGATTCTACTTGGTTTTCTCTGCTCTCTTCTTCCTCTTTAGAAAGATCAGTGTTGAATTGTGCTAACCATTCATGAGCAGATGTTCTCACCTGTATGAGGATGTGCCATAGTATTTAATGCCTGGAATGAAGCCCTCCTGCTCTCCACAAAGCATGGAGTACTGGATCTCCCTGGAGGAAGGAGATAACTACTACTCCTGTGCTGGAGAGAAGAACCAGGAGAAACGATCCTAGTGCCTTCAGAGCTCTGTAGAGGGTTGGCTGCTCTCGTGTTCCTGAATGCAATCATTTCTGTAGCACCCACATAACCCCTTGCCGGGGTTACCGGCAAGGCCATGACTAGCAGCAGCACTTTAAAAACACGTCTGCAGAATGCTGCTGCCACTTGGTGGATCTGAAGGGTAGTGAAAAAAGACAAGAAGGGAATGCTTCCTCATACCAATTTTTGAGCACAGGGTCCTGGGCACAATGCTCTAGGTGACCCTGCCTGAGCAGGACGGTTGGACTCGATGATCTCTAAAGCTCCCTTCCAACCTCAACCGTTCTGTGATTCTGTGAAGAATCAGCTGCCTTGAATCAAGACCAGGGCTTCAATTCATGACTACAGGCTGATTTCACTGGTGGCTGAAGGCTTACTGATCCTAGCTCTGGACATTACTGCTCTGTGATAAGGCAGAGAGACACACTGGTGCCTACTGATGCAGAGCCAGTTATTTTAGAGAACGTGATTTTGCCCCTCTAAGACCAAAGGAAAGGGCCCATCCCTTTGGGTACTAGTCTCCAAGATACAGCTTGTATTCATGCCTTTAACACTTTCACAAGCAAAGCAGGACTGAGAAACAGTTCCCACAAGGAAGCTCTCCACCTTTTAGAAGGCGAGAAATAACTCACCATGATCAGCTTGTCTGGCTTTGTGGAGACATGCAATTCTGAAAACAGCTCTGTTACTTCCTTTGTGAATTCCTCATCACCTAAAGGAAAGAAAAGTTTAAAAAATCCATACAACAGACAAATACAGGAAATAAGCAGCACTTCAATATACAACTAGTTCTGCACAAGTCTGTCAACTGTTTCCCACACTTCTTTGAATCATTCACTCAGGCAAGGATACATCAAACCTGGTCTTTTTAATACAATTTAAAAGGCAAATTCTGAAAAGCTGGAGACCCCCGTGCCAGATTAGCCTTCGCTTTCTCAATCCTGTTTTTTTAGCTAAGGTAATTCCATTTTTACAGATAGTCTACAACCCAAACGAACAAACCCTGTATTTTATAATGCACTAACTTGCACATCACCTTGGAGACTCTGAAACATCACTTACCAATGGTTCTGCTGTTACATGTGGCAGGGCAGATATTAACAGGGGGAGGAAGGCTGTGAGATTCATAACGTGCAAATATAAAAGATGCATTAAATGTTAAACGGTAGCAAGTGCAGGTGTGTGAGCCCTCCCTGATGAGCCATTTAGGTAAGAGCAATGGAAGAGATTTACATTTAAATCTGCATAATCCTCAAGAATAAGATGGCTCTTGCAGATGGAGGCACCTCTGAGTCTTTTGGCCTCTGTAGCTAACGCTCATTTAAAGAGCTAAGATCACTCCCTCCCTTGCAGGTTCAACAACTCTACTCACAGGCTTTCCCTTACGGTCAGGGAAACTCAACAAATCTGCATTTGGGTCTTGGCTTGAGGTCTATTGTATGAATCGCCCAGGAACTCAGCAGTTCTAATGCTGCTCTGGCAAGAAGTCCCTGCTACAGAATTAATGCATTGCAGCTTTCCAGAGACAAAGGCCATGACTACCTGTCGTGCTCCTGGCCAAGGATGGATTTGGGATTAAGCATACAGTTAAAGAATAATTTAACCATGGCATCATGCACATTGGTTGGTTCTGCACTGAGAATTTCAGTTAGAACCCGGACTCTTACCCCTCTTCTCTTCCTCTTCTTCTTCAGAGAATTCAGCTAATGAAAATGCTTCTCTAAGCTCCTCCATTTCCTCCTGCAACGTGTCCAACTGTTCCCCGGAGAGGGCATTTAGAACCGATTTTACCTAGTCAGGGCAGGCCAGCCAAAGAGAGACTCATGAATCCAACACGAAAGAAAAACAAGATCGAAGGTGCAGCACTGCGTTACATCACACGTAAAAACATCAGGCTCATACCAGTGAGAAAGGGGCATTTTTCTGTGGGAAGGAAGAAGTGGGGGAGACTTGCTTGCAAAGCCTCTTTAGGTAATAATGTATTCTTAAGCAGTTATTCAAATCATTTATTTTATGAAAAATGGAAGTATTTCTCAGATTGTTTGCTGATCTGCCCTCCTCTCTGCCCAGGGACACAGGGGATAGTTTCCACTGTACCTGTGATGCTCTCCTCCCCCCCAGTCCAAGGCAATAAATAAGCTGGTACGAGGAGAAGGCGACTTGGGACAAGTTGTTGAAGAAATGCAAGAAGTAAGGCTGGCTGGGTAAAAAGAAAGGCTCTACGTGCTGAAAACAGGACACAGTGCTGCCAAGGTAAAGACCAGATCATAATGTAGGGGGGTCAAAGTAAAGTTGTGTAATCAATCATTTTATAGCAAGTTCTGACTTCTGAGTATTTGATTTTGCATGCCTGTACATATATTTATCTTTTTTTCCTGCTCAGCTGAACTCAAAATAGAGAGAAAATTGCTCAAGGCCATTACCTTTGATTCACTCTCTCTGGAAAGCACCTCTAAGGCCTCCAGATGCGAAAGACCCTGAAACTCATCAAACAGTAACCCATAATGGGCTTTCTTCTCAGTAACCATGGTAACCTCAGTAGCTGTCTGCTGCTCTTCTTTCTCCTTTGCCTCTCGTAAGACCTGAAAAAGAAAAGCAGAGGACTTAGGTCAATGCCTGAAGATACAGAATAAGGGAGGACAAGGCTTTTGGCACAACAGTAAGAAACGGTTGATTAATAACAGGACCACAAGAGAAGAAAGAAGTGAGAGATATCAGTGAAGAGCTGATATGGAACTGCCATACCTGAGACAGTGTAGAGGTCCGGCTCATTAGGCCCTTCGTTTTTTTGAAACCTGGGTCCCCCTCAGCTATCACATCCATTGTCTTTTTCCCAATGAATTCCAAGGCATCCAGACCTCCGCTAATAACACTTTTTCCCTAGGAAGTAGATTTGGATATAGACAGTGCATATAAGTCACAGAAGACTCTACAGCTGAAGAAATTAAATTGGGGGATTTACATTGGCAATGTTATAGGCCAGAGACTCACATACAAGCCAAATCAGACCTCATCACCCCAAAATTCAACCCTAATCACTACAAAGAGAGAAGAAGAACATGAAAAGAGCTACAATACACAATCATTCCACAGTCTAAGGTAGCACTCAGGCAGCTGCAGCAATTTGAAGGAAAATGGATTTTATTTTGTGAACAAGCCGGTTCTCAGCATGGCAGTATGAGTCATCCTACACTTACACACAATTCTCACATTGAAGTATTCAGTTCTTCTCCTTCAAACGAGAAAACACTAGACCTGTGCGCTTTGGTTGCTAAACTCTTGGTTCAAGCCCTAGAAGAAGCAGCAAGCTTTCCATCTGCATCTCTTTCAGATTCATGGGCAAATTGACAAGACAGCAGATCATAAAAGTGCAGTTTCTATGAGTAATGGGCCCCTTTGAAGTGCATCTCCCATGGTCACAGGAGCAAGCTGATTTCCAAGCAATTTGGGCTAGTTTCACAGCAGTTTTTGAAGAGGAGAATGGATTTTAATCTCTGGGCAGTTCTATGGAAGTCAGTGGAATTATTCCAGGAATTAGTTTGACCCTGCATTTGGCCTAATACTACAAAGGAAAAGGTCAGAGAAGAGTACAGAGGTGACGTGCACGAAAAAGCATACATCACACACTCTTCTGTCGGCCTTCTCTGTTGTTTAGTTCAAAATTATCAAAATTCAAGACAACTTACACATAAGGTGCCAGTTAAAAGCAAGACACAGGATAAAGAGTGTCTGAAGGCTCAGATAGCCTCTCACCATTCATCTCACAAAAGAATTAAAGATTTCCTGTTATGAGGCTGCAAACAAGGCAAAAAACCCCCTAAAGCTCTCTTAACCCTGTTGCTCTTCCCTTCCCAACTCACTCACTGTGCTTTGGACAGCAGTAGAGATGGTTGATAAAACTCCAAGAGCCCCAGTGATAGGAAAGGAAGTGCCATCATCAACTGCATCTGTGCAGCTATCACCAGGATTCTCACTTCCTGCATTAGAAGGAAGAAAGTTAACCTCCTCACTCCCCCAGAAAGATCCTGTCAGGTGCAGAGTGGAGAAAATTAACAAACAGCACATGTTAGCCAGGGGCAGTGCTAGAATGGGGATTACGTTCCTACCCGCAAGACTTTTCGGAGCTAGCAGCAGTAAGCAATGGAATATCTTATTAGCACATAAAGAGGTATCTACCTCAATATTCAAGGAGCAAAGTAAGATGCTGCTATTTGGGGGCTGATATGTTATGAGAAACGTTTCAGTGTTCTTCTTACATAATAAAAACTGACCTTTTGTAGCATCTCTAGTCTCTGAAGAGATTTCACTAGGACTGGGGATCCCAAGGGATGTTTCTGCTTTTTCTATGACATTTGAAATGCCTTGACCTAGAGAAGACAGTAATATTAACTTTAATCATTGGATATAACTGTATTTTTTTTAATCCCTCAGCAGATAAAGAAGAGGATCATGGCTGTATATCCATTTTTACTATTCTGGCCTCCCTCTGTTCAAAATACATTTTCCAACCCCTGCTTCTATAGCAGAAATTCCATTCAAAAGCACTAGCTGGAGACCTGAAGCATGGCTAAAATATTTATCAAGTGACAGAAAGAACCTTACCTACAGTAGCAACAGTAGCAGATGCAGTGGAGAGAAGCGATTTCCCCCAGCTTCCCCAGTATCCCCACCCTGTCTGAGCTGCAGCAGGAGAATCTGAGACCTTTAATGAAGAAAAGCAGAAAACGGAGATGCACGTGTGTATGGTGAGGGGAGGAGGGGAACACAGGCAGTCTGCGACATGTAATTTTTCTGAAGGGTTTTTTTTTTCCCCCCAAACAAACAGCAGTGTGAATTTTCAGAAGGGGAGCGAGGCTTACAGTCAGAATTCTTCTGTGCATAAAACTGTGAAACTTGAAGACACAGGGCTAGCACAGAGATGTACCTTGAGTGTTTCAGCTGGTGCTTTTGCTGTGGCAGCAGGCTGACTTGGGGGTTTGGGTTCAGGTCTTTTCCGAGTCATAGGCACAGGTTCACGCTCTTGCTCTCCCTGTTCACTACTCTCAGTGGAGCCAAGTTCCTCAGGTTTCTGTTCATTTTCATCTCCATGAGAGGCTTCTTCTTTTAGATTTTCACTGCTGTCTTTTTCAGACATGACTACAACATTCAAAGAAAGCAAAGCAGAAAAAATAATCACTCCTTTGTACTCATTGACATTCGTTTAAGAGCGTCATATTTGTATTTTGAATAACTAAAAACAAATAAGATAGAAATCCCTTCTTCTTGTGACTCATATTCCTTATTCCTGTATAAACAAGTCATATTTTTAAGTGAGTTTGTACAATGAGTTATACCTAACCAGAAGCGTCACACTTGGAAGTTTAAAGTCCCACAGAAACACGTGGCTTTATCTAACTAGCACACCGTCTCCACAGGAAAGAAATAGATTGATGATTCTGAAAAGTAAACTGAAGGTACAAAAAGTCTTCAGATAGTTTAACCCACGGCTTGCTTCACACACACAAAAAAAAAAAAAGCGAAAATAAATTGCTTGGAGTGGCTGCTTCGAGGGATATCAGATACGAATGGGGATAGCTATTAGAAAGCTGGGCAGGTATGAGGCGGTGACTGGTTTGCTTCTATATTTAGGGACGAGCTTCTTCAGGGTGTTCACACCATCTGGAATTTGAAAAATGCTCAGGTTGCCACAGCAACCCTACCTGACACCGCACATCTAGAGCCGACGGGGTGCACAGCGACGCGGCTGCCAGGCCGAGGCCTGCACGCAGCTGCAGGCAGGGAAGATCCTTCTCCTTCTCGCTGGCTCCGCGGTGGGAGCTTTCACCAAGCCCGAGCCAGGAAGGAGAAGCGCAGAAGCCGGAGGCAGGCAGGGCGATGGCGCGCGCCGCACGCCGCGGTCCAGGGTCGCTGCCGTGGCCGGGGGAGCCCTCCAGCCCCGAGGGGCGGCCGCTGATGCAATCCGGGCAGCTCCTTTCACCCACAGGACAATCATACG